CAATTATTAATATCTCTCTGTAGAATGTTAATACTAAATTATGTTAAAGAGCTATTTATTTTTAATAACATGTCCTTTCATGTCGTAACTCACCATCTCTATTTTTTTTGTTTAATAACCGTGAAATAAGGGGTCTCCTTAAAGTCTGAACATATAGGAAATCTTCATTAACTTTTTCTTTTTTACCTCCACAGATTAAACGTGATTTTGTAGAAAGAAGAAAGAATTAAAATGAAACTTCTCAGTGGATATGAAGGATGGTCATATCGAAAGATAGCAGATAAATTTAATTCATGTCATTCCAGGCGGGTTTTACTTGGCATTGGCACAATGGCGAAGGCATTTAAAAGTTTTAAAAGAACGGCAGTGTCATAGACAAACCCCGTGCAGGACGACTAAATGTAACGGGCGAAAAGAAAGAAATTGTCATGGTTAAAATTTATGCTAGCCCCAAAAAATCACTTCGCAGGATATCCATAGAGCTGGATGTTTCCAAGACAACTTTAAGTCGTATCTTAAAAGAGCAAAAGGTTCATCTGTACAAGTTACAAATCTTGCATCACTTGACAGAGGATGAGCATGATAGACGTCTCGAGTCAATATGGAAGATGATATCTGTTAATATTCCAATTCAATAAAATGATGTTGAAAATTTGACTTCTCGAAAATATGCTGACCTGGGGATCAACCTGTATAATGCATTGATATGAAAGGCTGCAGAGTGGATTCACGTTGTCTTCTGGATGGTTTTCTTATATCCAGATCACGTTGAAACGCTAGTTCCGCTAAGATGATAAGCAACGTCTAACCTGGTAGATGGGTGACCGCTTGGAAATACCAGGACTTGTGAGTCTAGATATGCGGTGGTGTAATGGAAGCTCGAAAAGCAGAATTTCAGTTCAAGTTGGGCGCTTCGACGAGGTGTAATAGCTAGCAAGCTCGACACGCTAGATCTTTTACGACTGAACAGTTAGTTCTATCTTCTCTTGGGGCCACATTCTCCCAGCCTTGTGTTATATGTACGTTACATTCAGAAGACTAACTTGCCGCGCAAATACCCTTAAGAAAGGTCCACATATTGGCAACCAGCTATGGGTGAATTTGTCAAATCTATGTCACTAAATTATTAATATCTCTAAAATATTTTCTTACAATCAAAAATAATTCTGACTTTAAATTAACTGCAAAAAGAATGATAAGCTTTTGAATTAATCAATCAACCAACCTATAAAACAACTTACGCGCAAATACAGTTGGAGAAATTATCAAACTACTTTTTTCTCCCCAGCTATGGGTTAATTACTAGTACTTGTGTTATTAAATCATTATTAACGAAAAAAATTCTTACAGTGTAAAATAAAAATATTTCTGGCTTTAAATAACCTGCAAAAGTCTAATAAGTCGTAGAAAATGAATCCTCCATCAAACAATCAATCAATTTCTCCCTATAAACTGCGTTACGCAAAATTACCATTGGGGATGTTATGATCTATATCTATATCTATATCTTCTCCCTCCCTCACCTATTGGCTAATTAGTCAGACGTGTGGATCTGAATCATTATTATCGTCTCCCAAAATTCTTACAATGTAAGAAAATATATCTTCTGGTATTAAAAAAAACCTGTAACGGCTTGATGAGCTGTAAAAAAAACAAAAAAACAAAAAACAAAAAACGAATCAATATATCATTCGTGATGGCTTGAATTCCTTCTTTTAGACGAGTTGGTATCATAGGATAGAGAACGCAGTCTAATTTACTATTTAACCTATAGCTGGGGAGAAGTGAAATATTTATGTCTTTCCCAATGGCAAAAGTGCGAAAAATGAAAGAAGCAGAATTTGAACTCAGACTGCTCGATTTGCTTTTCCTTGTCGACAACCGTTACTGTACCAGCCTTTCGCCTGTAACAATGACCTGTAAATAGATTTTAATCTCACTTTTACTTTTGATTTCCCAAGGTATACATAGAATTGGTGTTAAATTTTACTAGAGAGAAATCATACAAAAGTTGTTCTAAAAAGAGAATTTTTGTTTAATTCTCTGATAGTGTTAAGAAATTGATCATCGGAAAGTGTCGAGGAAATGAAGGGGAAACAAAAAATTAGAATATATAGATCGATGGCAGAGTAAAATGCTTTGTAAGCTGAAGGAATTAGATCGATCATTTGTACTCCCGAATGCCGGATTAATCAAACAGTGGTAACAAAGAGGAAGAAGTAGCAGGTAACAGGGACGAAGAAGAAGACGAAGAAGAAGAAGAAGACGAAGAAGAAGAAGAAGAAGTAGAAAAAGAAGAAGACAACGAATGACCAACTACGAAGAAGAAGGCTAAGAAGACGACGGCAACGAAGAAGAAGCAGAATGCTAAGACGACGACGAAGAAGAAGAAAACGAAGAAGAAAAAGAAGAAGAAGAAGACAACAAATGACCAACTACGAAGAAGAAGGCTAAGAAGACGACGGCAACGTAGAAGAAGCAGAATGCTAAGACGACGACGAAGAAGAAGAAAAGAAGAAGAAGAAGAAGAAGAAGAAGAAGACAACAAATGACCAACTACGAAGAAGAAGGCTAAGAAGACGACGGCAACGTAGAAGAGGCAGAAAGCTAAGACGACGACGACGACGGCGAAGAAGAAAATGAAAAGAAGAAGAAGAAAAAGAAGAAGAAGAAGAAAGGAGAAGTAGAAGAAGAAGAAGAGGGCTAAGAAGACGACGACGACGAAGAAGAAGAAGATAAAAGAAGATCAACAACAAGAAGAACAAGAAGAACAACAACAACAACAAGAAGGCAAGAAGACGACGACGAACGACCAAATACGAAGAAGAAAGCTAAGAAGACGACGGCAACGAAGAAGAAGCAGAAGAAGAAGAAGAAGCAGAAGAAGAAGAAGAAAAAAAAAGTTGGATAAATTATCAATGCATTGTCGGATTCTCGCTCATAAAAAAATCGAAGCAAGACAACAACAACAAAAAAAAAACAGTTTGCGACATTGAAGGATTTATCAACATAAATTTCCGTCTGAACTGTGGCCATTTCTAATGTTGACAAATATTACACGCCACAAAAAATAAAGGGGAGGGATGAAGAAAATCGATAACGTATAAAATCCAGAAGAAATTGCATGAAAAGTTTAAGAAAGATCACTGCAAAACATTGACGGGCAAAGGTTATGAAAATAGAAACTAAAATAAAATGACAATATATAAAAAAATATCATTTAGATAAAATGAAATCTCGAAATATTTATAAAACGAGAGAGATAGCGAAAGATTCTTTTTTGAACATAAGAGAAATATAAAGCTATGTGTGTGTTGGTACAATGGAAGGAAATAGGTATGAACTGTAATTTAATATATAATTTCCGGGAATCTGCCACCATATAAAAAAAGAAACTTAAAGCGAACAGAAATGTGTTTTTTTTCCTGAGGAATGCTTAGATTAATATCGACGAATCATAGAAGTAACGAGTAAGTCTTAATAAGGAAAATAGGGACGAGACGTTACCTTCTGCATCCCGACTCCAAAATTTCGTAGACCCTCAAAGAATCTGCCTAAAGCGAACAGAAATCAGCACATATGCTAGGCCACAAAAATCTCCTGAGCCGACCAAGCATAGAAATGAATACAATATGGCAACCAGTAATAAGGAGTGTCAGAGAAAAGCAATGATAACAACAAAAGTTGCAATATGAGCTCTGGTAAAAACATGAAATGATAACAGCAAATTTGCTATATGAGCACTGGTAAAAATGGTTGCTGAAGACATTATGTTTATAATACCCAGAAATTCATACCCAGATGTCCTCAAGGACACATGGCACAGCGGATAAAGGCGTTGGTTATATCCAGTGACAGGACCCAAAGAGTGTGAGTTCAATAAGGTTAAGGTATTAAGTTAAGGAGAACTTTTAGAGGGTAATTAGCGGGAGATAACTGACATCCATCAAACATGGCACGTGGAACTAGAACCGTCTACCCCAGTGAGCTAAATAAGGTGTTCAGTTCGAAATTTCAACCACCTGAAGAAGGCCGGAGCGTACAACGTTGTGATAAATATGGCGACAATAGACCGAATAATGTAAATAATGTACATAATACCTCATGTCAGAAATATAGACAGACTCAGAAATCTGTTTCTACTGACGAATTCTTTGACTAATAATACTAATGATATGACAAGCAAAAATCCGCACTATATGTCATATTTAGCACCCCGTGATTCGGAGACGGACCTTCCGGGAATTCGCTTCCATCTGAAAAAGGAACTTAAAGTGAACAGAAATCTATATCTACTGAGGAATGCTTTGAATAACATCGACGAATCATAGGAGTAACGAGTAAGTCTTAATTTAAAAAATAGAGACTATATTCTGACTCCACAGTTAGGTAAACCCTCTGGGAATCTGCCTCCATATGAAAAAAAATTAAAGCGAACAGAAATATTTTTCTACTATCGAATTCTTTGACTAATATCAACTAATCATAGGAGTAACGAGTAAGCCTTAATAAGGAAAATAGGGACTTCCTGTTACCTTCAGCATCCCGGCTCCAGCGATTCGTAGACGGACCCTCCGGGAAACTGCTTCCATCTGAAATGATCTTAAAGTGAACAGAAATCTGTATCTACTGAGGAATGCTTTGAATAATATCGATGAATCATAGGAGTAACGAGTAAGTCTTAATTTCAAAAATAGGGACTATATGTTACCTTCAGCATCCTCACTCCAGATCTTCGTAGTCGGACCCTCCATGGATGACACCGTCCAATTGTCTGGAGTTAGCAGCAATTAACTCCTTATGCTACTCGATATTTCTTTTTTGGCTTCACTTTTCATTGGTGCGAGTATGTCATGGTTAATTATCCTTCTCAACATTTTTCTCCTCTTTAAACAGACTCCTTAATCTTTTCTCCCTTTCTTTTAATTGTTACCATCTGACTTCCGGTTTTCTATACTATCCATTTACACCAAAATTAAAGAAGATTACTGGCACATCACGTTGAAAAACCAGTGTCCGTAGGATTACTGTAGTTAAACAACTTCGCGCCTGGTCAGTATTTAGATGGGTGACCGCTTGGAAATATCAGGTGCTGTAAGCTTGCATGTGTAGTTGTTTTAACGTATAATGTCTCTGAATTGTTAATCAGAGAGCTGAGTTCCAATTTGGGTTCGTGATAATCAATTACACGCAAATACCTGTGGGAAAAGTATGAACCCACCTATTCTTCCCAGTTATGGATTAATTTGTAATTATTCTATCAGTGAACCATTATTATCCCAAAAAATAGTCTGTCAATCTAAAGATATTTGCTGGCTTTAAATAGCCTGCAGAGGGTTGATAAGCCATTGAAAACAAATCAATTGATACGACAAAAATTAAAAATTGAATTTAATCTTTAGTTTCGCATTCTATTTTCGATGGCTGCAAGTCTTTGAGGATACTGACCTTGCACTCGGGTTACAGTTGCAGCATTATTCAATTCGTCTGGACATCTGAAATGTATTTCACAGAAAGCATAAATTTCTTGTGCTTGAAAACCAAACATTTTTGAGTACAGGGGAACAATTTTTCACTATTTTTTTTATTTAACACGATATCACAGCAGTACATAGCCGATCATGACTCTCCACAACTTCCGTTTTTTATTATTTGATATTTGCCATGCCTTTTGGGAATGTTAATGTAGTGCTCTCCCGGTGATTCTCAAAGGTTTTAATTAATAGTTTTCCGTTTAGTTACCACCCAGTGCTATAGAACTTATTCTCATTCTTTTTCCAATGACCATAGTTCGATAAATAGAACATATAAACGGAGACAATACTAAAAGTTTAGTAACAACAAAATTATTTTTTATAAAGTTCAAAATGCGATATAGATAATTTTAATATCGGAGATGGCGTATTATGTACACTATTTACATTATTCGGACTATTGTCCTCATCTTTGTCGCCTTATTTATTATAACTTTTCGGCCGTTATACGCTCCGGCCTTCTTCCGGGGGTCGAAAAGTCGAACTGAACACTATTTAAATTATTCGGACTATTGTCCTCATCTTTTTCGCCTTATTTATTGCAACGTTTCGGTTGTTGTACGCTCGGGCCTTCTTAATTACAGTCACAATATATTAAGAAATATCGTTACAACATTGCAGTTTTGAAAGTATATTTATATATATATATATATATATATATATATATATATATATATATATATATATATATATACAGAGTACAGACGAGGCCATGACAAATAGGTTATGTTTTAGGTATGAAGCTAAACTACATGAGGTAGCAAGGAATCTCATCGGGAGGTTTTAGGGCATGGAGCAAGTACTTATTACTGTTGTTCCCATGTCCATGCTAACCCTGGCGGTAGCACGTGTTAGTGCCTCTGTTACGAGCAAATAGTTAATCCTCAAACTGTGGACAAAACTCTATGAAGGTATTGTATTAAACAAAACTATATTAAAAATGCCAGCAATACATTTTCGTAGTAAAATATTAGCGATAAATTATTTTTGCAAAAAAGAAAAAAAAATACTAGCAACACATTTGTGTAAGGAAAAAAGTCACTAGCAAAATATTTCTTTTCTTTTTTTAAGCAATTCACTCGAAGCAAAGGCGTGAGTGCCACTAGCACGCTATGGGTTACAGAAGATTGAGAACAAGAATAAAGAGTCTTGTTTGAGGAAAGGATACAGAAAAGGGCGTGTAACACGCTCAGGCTATCAGATGTCCATTGATATTACACTTGAATCTGTAAAAGAAATTACTAATACTGCCAAGAAAATTAAATTTCGCTATTAAATGACCCATAAGGAGTTGATATGCCACTAAACAAACAAATGAACAAATAAATGAATTGCAGTCTCCTGATTAAAAAAAAAAAACTTTTTCCAGGCTTTTTTATTTATTTATTTCGTGTCAATCTTGGTTTCCAAATCTGATTGCAGCATATTGTTTGAAATTCATTGACCAAGAAACAAATCTACGAGTCAGACTGTTCGTATGAAAATCACAACGATTGAATGTTTTTGCATCATTAAAAAGATTGATCGGAGAATTCGATTGTTTTTTTTTTTTTTTTTTTGTTTGTTTGCCTGTCACACCCATTTTTCTTTTGTTCAGAATAAGAGCTATACACTCCGTACATGAAGCTACGGTTAGAAAATCTTCATAAGTTTCGTCCTTGGTGACAGCATTAAGAACTGTAGTCTTGCTATGAAACATTTGGACAAAATTTCATATTCTGTGTATGTTTCTCTGTGTATTATTCTTTATTTGGGTTTTCGAACTTCAAAAACTGACGATTTTTGCCCATTTCTAAAAAAATTACTGAAAACTATAAACCTTCACTGATTTGTGTTACAATGTTACATACATAAGACTGATATATATCATGAAATTTTAGTTTTCTTATATTAATTAAATTTATCGTACATTAATAGAGAAATGTCTTTTTCCCAGGTGGTCTTAAAATAATGCCAACATTTTAGCCTAATTTAATCATAAAGTTACCTTTTTATAGTATGAGAAACAGTACCCAGAAATAAGCAGGTCATGATTATTTTATTGTCGCCAGCTGCGCCAAATATTCATCGTTTTTTAAAGCCACGAATATATATTTATTTACCAGAATTTTCATTCGATATTTTTTTTATTAATATGAGGGGCAGTTCTTTCGTATAGGACATGTTACAATAAATTATTTTGTTACTTATGAAAAAACATCATTACCAATTTCATTTTATATATTACTTACACCCATTTGATCCTAATATCTGTCTCTACCCATGCCACGCTGAATCAACGTTTCCCGTGCAATCACAAAAGTTAAGCAGAATTCATCCTCGTCAGTACCAAGATGGGTGACTGCTTGTAAATACTCCGTACTGTAAGCTTGAATGCCGTAGTTTAATCAATGATGATTCGCAATTGATAATCGGAGAGCTGATTTCCAATTCCAGTAGGGTTCGTTATGTTCACTTAGAAGCAAATACTATTGGGAAAGGTATGAATCCATCTCTTCGCCCACAGTTATGGGTTAATTAGTAAAAATGTAACACGAAAGTATTGTTATCTCCAAAAATAAAATTAAATTGTGTACAAAAATATTTTAATTTCGGTATTAAATAACCCATAAATGATATGCCGCTAAAAAAAAAAATTAAAAAAAATAAAACTTCCTGGGCTGTGATCTTAATTCTGAGATAGTTACCACTTCAAGCGCTTTGGATTCATTGCTAGATGAGCCGTATCCCTTCAGGACTTTAGCTATCACGACTCTCCAAAATTGCATGTCCTTAGTAAATTTTGTCCTTTAGTTATCTCTCCTAAACCGATAGGTAGTTTATGCGATGTTTTCCTCTGTCCCATTTGCCTTCTGCCTGTCCTGTGAGTATCAGATATTCCAAGCCCACTTCCTCATAATGTACCCTAGAAATTTCAACTGTCTCTTTCTGATGTTAATTCTAAATATTGTTTTGATTTCCATTTTCTCTAACCCTTCGTACACATGTTTCAGTTATTTTTCAACTGGCCTAGAAGTCTTACTTAATATAACAGAACTGAACTTGGATCTAGCACCCAACAGGAATAGAACACGTGTCTCTTTACCCAGAAGGAAATGAACCTAAATGTGGAAGTGTGCCTGGGATGCAAGTTCAATTTCTGTCAGAACACACATACTTTCGGAGTACTTCTCGACATAGGCCAGTTGGTATTAATTTCACTGTTTAAGAAAAATTAAACTTATACTCGGCTATCACCTAAAAAAAAAATAGCGTTTATAATGAAACCCGGTGCTTACATCAGTGTCCGCTTGGGAAAGTCATAATTATTTCATTAATGGAGATATTAGAATGAATTATTTCTGCGGTAGAACTGTTGCCAACCAAGCCTAGTAGACCCATAAACAAGCCATAGCTGGGGAAGACTATATGAATTTATACCTTGCCTAAGGTATGGTATAAATTCATATTGAATTCGTATTCGTATGAATGTAATGAACTAGACTGGAATTCGGTAATTATAGTAATTATAATAATATTATAGCAATATTCTAAATTACTGGGTATTTTCTTAGGCATTTATGTTATGTATATACTATATATATATATATATATATATATATATATATATATATATATATATATATATATATATAATTATTTTTTATAAAAAATTATAACATAAGTATGTTATTGTCGAACAATTAAGATAACCACTCAGTTGTGGAGCAAGCTGAGTGAAAAACTAATTCATCATAGAGACAGAGCTATTTATGGTGCAATGGAGCATCTCATTATGCTAAAGTGGGATAGTCCATTGCTTGGGCTATGATTGGCTGCTGGCACCTGAGTGGAAGTATTACTATATAAATACTAGCATGATTTCTCAGTTTGCAGGATATGTATTAAGTTACAGATGAGTATTGGTTTTGTTACTGATTAATTTTTGGACTGTTGCTGACTACTTTTCTCTGTGATTTGACCTGTGGCTCTTGTGAACTGCATTTTGTTTAAAGTTTGTTTATTTACGACCTTATTGTAAAAGTTTTCTGATTTTTTCCTTTTTTACTCTCCATTTTTTTTTCACCCTCCCCCTTTATTTTTTACTCTTTATTCTGTTTATTCAAGTTTTCCTATTTGATTTTAATTTTTACTCGTTTTTTTTTTTAATTTAATTTCGTTTTTTCTCCTGTAATTTCCGCAGTTTTTTCTTCTCATTTCTACCCCTTTTTAATTTTTTTTTTTCTCTCTAGTTTTCCGTGTTAATTGTCATTTTCTTTATTTTTGTCCTGTTCGTTATTCTGTGTTTTTTGTGTTTCTTATTAATTTATTTATTTAATTGTTTTCATCCTTTTAATTTTTACGTGTTTTTTTTGCTTGTAATCGTTTTAATCTATTTGTTTATTTTCTTTTGTTTATTGGTTCGACTCGCTTAGGGTCGGCCATTTTTATTTTTTGTGTCTAGCTTCGTTTGTCTTAGTTACGTATTTTTTTGTTTATTGACGTCGGCCATTTTGGTTTTTGTAACTAGCTTTGTGTTATAGTTTCGTAATTTTTTTGGTGACGTCGGCCATTTTGATTTTATT